ATAATAATAATAATAATAATAATAATAATAATAATAATAATAATAATAATAATAATAATAATAATAATAATAATAATAATAATAATAATAATATTATTATTATTAAAATTATATTATTAATTAATTATAATTCTTATAAGTATTATATTTAAAGATATAATATTAAGAAATTATAATTTAAAAAAATAAAAAAATAAATAATTCTTTTATTTCTTATATAAAAATTAAAGTAATTAAAATACTTATAAGAGGTTAAATTTTTTATAATAATATAATTAAATATAACTTTTTTATTATTATAAAAATTTAAATAAACTATTATATTAATATTAGGTTATAATATTATATTATATTTAAGATCTATTCTTTATTATAATTATAGCCCGGCCCTTAATAGGTTAACTAAGCCCGAAGATCAAGGATCTAATTGACTTAGATAGAGAGGCCTCGAGTAATAGGGCATCAAATCCAATTGAAGTTGATTATACCCAAGCCTCAAGAACAACTCTTCGACAGCTTACAACCGAGGAATGCCTCACCGACGATGTGCTTGATCTGTGTTGCCGTGCGATTTAGCCTCGATACGACATGTCTCAGTCAATACTCCTCCTACACTCTCTATGGTTCTTCGACGACGTCCATTCTGGCACTCTTCCCTCCGAGGTGCGTCGACTCCGACACGCAGAAGTCGTCTGCTTTCCGATCCACCATGACGGCCATTAGAGCCTTGACCTACTCAGACAAAGTGAGAGGGGTTTCCTGTTTCAGCACCACGACTCTTGTCCTTTGACCCAGCGCAACGGGTTAGTCTTTCAACGTATTCGGGCTTAGTTAACACATTACGACTACCAAGGAGATGTGACGGTCAGCCAAGAGGTTTGTTCCATCTCCTATTGTCGATACAATATGCTGATCACTAGACAAAGGAATGCCCACGTCAGAAACATAGCTGGAGCTGTGGTGTTTGGATCTTAGCCTGCCTACAGCGTACCATACAGGGCACGTCTTGCAACATTTGCACACAAGATGCTACTCCGATGGCCAAGAAGAAAGAAGTACTATCTCTGCTGATGAGTGTGAATCGTTCCGACTTTGACGAACCTGGGAGAGCTATTCTCGACAGCTTGATCGAGCATACCCAGAGTCGCGGGAATGTTGAGGGACTCGCCGATCGATCTGATAGCATCTTGCCTCGTCCTGTCACCCACACAAACTTCGAGCAGCGACTTTCTGAGCTCAGCCACTATCAACTACAGCGATACCTAGTGTAAGCCAGCTAGCTTTCGAAGGGCAGCCGAAGAGTCAATGGAGACACTGAAGAATAGGCTGCCGCGACGTCCCATCAGTTACGACCACACTACTCAGGTGAATAATGACAGCGACGAGCTGGGGACCTTTCTGGAGCAACACGAACAAAGAGTGATGGAGGAATCGCGATGGCAGCGCAGCATGGTAGCTGGTTTCCCGGCGGATCAAACCCTTGACAGTGACTGTGATCAGACAACGTTGACATGTCGGGGCATATTGTTGTATTCTAGTGCCAAAAGTGGCCTTAGACACTCTCACTGTGTATGAGTAGTGCCGCTTGTCTTGGTTGTTTTAACCCTACCGGGACATTTGTCTCTGGAGACGAGACGGGCATTCAGAGCAGAAGTATCTAGATTAGCGGAGTCGAATTACATACTCCAAAAAGCAGTCTCTAAGCCGCGGGCGACTGAGTTAAATTGCCTGTATAATTCATCGGCATTGCTCTGCTGGGTTAAGTTTCATGACGGTTACTATTGGGACTCCGTCATTCACGGCTCGCCGAACTTCTTTGTTGCTATCATTTAGTTAAAAGGGCTCAATGAGGCATCTCACAGTCAGCTTTCGAATCGTACATGTAATGTTGCCATCAATGAATACATCAAGGCAGCCTGCGTAGCAATGTATGGGTTTGAGGTGGTTAAGCAACTGGCAGTCTTAGGTACAACAAGTCACACCAGGGTAGAAGAAAGTGGGCAGTTGTGTCATTGACACTTGAAACAAGATATGACTGGTCTAAGGCTAGCACATGAAGTGGGACTGAATATATGTCGCGTATTTGAACTCTGATTCGGGCTTGTTAGATGACCCTACTCTCACCAGGAAGAAGACAATCAGAACAAACAATCAAGATCGCCTTGTAGCCTCTTTGGTTACAATGATATTCTTCCTAGCGAGTAAATTCACCCAATGGCGTGATCGCTGGAGTGAGTGATGTCCAAGAGCCCCCGTACCCCTTGATTAGCTGTCGCCAGAACCAAAGTAGAGTCTCTCAACAGCGGAAGTACTGACGGTCATGATCTACTGGTTACACCCCTCGCCTTGTCGAGAAAAGAAATGTGAGATATCAAGATCAGAGCCGTTACATCCTCACAGACGACTAAGCATCCAACTCCGTTGGGCAAAGAATCGCTTGACCTTCCAGCACAGGTTTCTTCCTTCTCCTATAGTTAAGCGTCCTAATTCTACTAAAGGCGAGTTGCTTCAGCGTGAAGGAACTTCTCTCATAAATCTCTCAGAAAATTGAATGAGAAGCTATACGCTGCAAGGCTGATCGGCCGGTTCGGGAGACAACCACGCAGCCTGAGCCGGAAGATTCGCGGAGCGGTGGAGGAGAAGGACAGGCTTGTTGCATTGAAGATCTCCGGTATATACCCAACGTTGGCCGGGGCTAATTCGTGCAATTAACAGAATGTGGCGAGGTAGAGTAAGACCGCTACCGAATTGCAAGGCTTGAAAGCAGAAGGAATGAAGTATATCGTATGGAGTCTTGTTTCGCACGGTGGGCAGGTTGAGATGAGAACGTTCTTGGACCCCCGCACTTGGCGTCATTTATTTTGGATGCAATTCGGATGATATCACACATGATACTTCGCCTGCGTTGAGATGTTTGCTGAATATTCTTGGTCACATGGGTATGTCGACCCCAACCATGTGGTGGCCAACGGATACGAACTATATCAGAACTGTCCAACGCTTGACGTTGCTGAAAGTTATTCGAGGAACACTTTCTTCCAGTACAACTTTCAGGAGTTGAATGACCAGCCAGGCGAGAATATGTAGCAAGACAGGGGTTGGAATACGGCTTACGTTCTTGAGCAATACTCGACCAATACACCCACTTGAGACATCCTGGGATTGCAAGTTGTTCCAGGCCCAGTCGCCAGCTGGCAATCAGTCAACGGTCTCGGGCCGTGAGCCCTGGATCATCGAGCAAGCCTTAGATAGCCGACAGGTCAAGAACTACGTTGGTCGGACGCACGAGTGTGAGGTTGTCGGAGACCCAAGACCTACAGACACAAATAACTTCTATGGTTATCAAGAAAAGTAAGAGTGACAGGGAGCTGAAGGAAGTGACTCGTGTAGGTATAATCTGTATTCTTGATGACAACCGTGGTATTACTCCCTTTCGTCTCATCGTGGGTTGATCGGCTGTCGGGCCTGTGGTCATTGGGACGATCAGAGCAGCAACTTGAGTTAGATTGTGGCGAAGCTATTACTATAGGCGTTATGTCCAGCCATCATATCCTGACCGCAAGGTCGGGCCCTAGGGGGCACTCGGAACGATGGTAGGCCAGATTAAAAAGTTCAGGTCTCTATATGCATAGGTCGGAGAGAATGAGTATTGCCCACGGCGGTAGAGGGGGATAGTAGCTACACGAGTAGCATTGCGGATGCATTGAGAATGTCACGTATTGGTGAGAAGGCGGCTCATATCATAAAAATGACTTCGTCCAGCTTGTGGGAGAAGCACATGTAATTTCGAGCCCAGTCTATCACAACACCCAGGACGAGCAAGACTGTTGGCACTACGTCGATCTCAAAGTGATTAAATAAGCTGGATGAGCCAAATCTCAGGTGTTTCATCAACGTGACCCTGATCTGGCGAGTGTTTTGTTCATAGGAGCCCCTCTTCTTCTCACAGCATTTGCGTGTAATTCTTGTTTGACCCCCAGCTTCATGTTCAGCTAGTGACGTTTATGCTGCAATCGCGAGTCCCGAACTGTACAGAGATGCTCTTGCAGGATAAGATCAAACGTGTAACAGAATCTGCTTCTTTAACAAGAGTGTGCTATGGAAAAATGTCTCCTATACATCATGTCAGAAAGAGGCAGAGAAGGCTGCGTATATCAAAAGGCTATGTGTGAGCAGGTCTCTATTAAACTAGCCTTACGGTCCCATTTTATAACAAAGCGGATATTTTCTACTTACTTCGATCTTCGGGCTTAGTTAACCCATTAAGGGCTAGGCTATAATTATAATAAAAAATAAATCTTAAATATATCATAATATTATAACCTAATATTAATATAATAACTTAATTAAATTTTTATAATATTAAAAGAGTTATATTTTATTATATTATTATAAAAATCTAATTTCTTATAAGTATTTTAATTACTTTAATTTCTATATAAAAAATAAAAGAATTATTTATTTTTTATTTTTTTAAGTTATAATCTCTTAATATTAAATTTTTAAATATAATATATATAATAAATAAATATTATAATTATATAAGTATTATAAAAATCCTAATTTTCTTACTAAAAATTATAATAAAAATACTATAAATTATTTAATTAATTTAAATTACTTATTATATTCTTCCTTAGATATCTTAATTATTACTTAATAAGTCTTTATATTATACCTAGGCTTATCGTAGATATTATAATATTAAATACTAAGTCTAATTAATCTTCTTTAATTATTATTTTTAAATAATTTAGCTATTACTTATATATCTATATCTATTTAATTAATTATTTATTTTCCTTTCTCTATTATTATAACCCCTCTTTTCTATAATTTAATCCTTTTTGCCCTTTAATATTAATTTAATATCTTATTTACCTCTTAAAAGTCTTTATTCTTAGTAATTAATAAAATAACTTAATATATAATAGCCTTTATCCTCTTTATAAGAGACTATAAAGCCTCTAAAATTAACTCTAGGGAGCTACTTTAATGCCTTCTAATCCGCCTTTTAAGGTATTTAAACTAAGATCTAGCCTTAAGTATAATCTTTAGGGTCCTTAAAGCCTAAAAGATTAATAATTTAATTACCTCCTTAACTAATATTAATATCTATAGCTAAATATTAAGCTTTAAGACTATAATTTCTAAGTTAAGAGAAATAAGCTTAATGCCTTTAAAAGCCCCCCTAATATTTCTTTCTATTATAATAGCCTTATATATAATATAAAAGGCTAAAAAAAACTTAGTCTTTAAAATATATATTATAAAATATCTAATTAAATATTTTATTTCTTAATTATAAGCCTTCTTTAATATATTAAAATACCTAATATTAAGAGGTTAAAATAAGAAGAATAAAGTAATATATAAAACTAGATAATTTTCTTTTCCTTATAATATCTCTTAAATTTAATAAAATAATAACTTTTATAGCTATTAAGGATTAAGAGATAATAATAATTATTTAATCGCTTAGCTATATATTAATTAAAATATTTAAGTTATTTAAGATTAATCTTATTATTAATCTAGTTATTTTAAGTTATTATAATAGCCTAATTACCTAAGAGGTTATTATCTTAGTATTAATTAATAAGGTAATATTAGCTTATGCTAATAATAAATAATTAGATTACTTAGCCTTTTATATTAATTACTTAAATAATTATAATTTATTTTTAGTTTTTAAGCTATATTAATTTTAGCTTTAAATACCTTTTTATACTTATAATAATTATTTTACTTATAATTATACTTATAAAAAAGCTAATCTTATTAAAATTATAGAGATTATCTAATTAGATATTATATTTCGCGATTATATTCCCTATAAGCTAAAATTAATTATAAATAATTATTAAATCTTTATACTTAGCTCTCTAATAATTATATTTCTAAAAAAAATTTATCTTAAGGTCTACGTATTACTTAATAAAATTATAAGCCTAATATATATTAATTAATAATATATTATAGTTAATAAGTAATTAATTAGCTATTTCTTATATATTATATAGCTATAAGGGAAATCCTCGCGAATTTAGGTTAAAAATAAAGTAAATAAAGATCTATTCCTCTAGATTAAATAGCTAATATAATTTCTAAATAGTATTATATTAAGATTAAATATTATATTATTAATAATATAAAGTATAATAATAAACCGTATAGATAATTATAGCTTATTAAATACTTAACTTAGGGTTATTTTATATAGCCTAAAAGGTATAAAATATCTTAGCCTTATTAAAAGCTTATAATATACTAGGTAATTAAGAAATAATTAATTAAATAAAGAAGATATAAGTTAAGGGATTTTTATAATACTTATATAGCTATAATACTTACTTATTATATATATTAATACTAAGAATTATAATTAATTAAATAATTAAAGTTAAGAAGTTATATAATTATAATATTATTATTAAATATAAAGATTAATATCTTTTATTTTTTAGCTTTTTTCTTAAGATATATAGCCTCTTTTATAATATATAATTATTATTATTTTATAATATTAATATAATAAGAGTTATTATAAATTAAATTATTAAGTTAGATATTTA